GGCTTTCCCGGTTTCTCCGTGGCATCCCAACAATTACTCCATTCACACACAGAAGAAGGCAATGGCAAACCACTTCTGGATCATCTGCCAAGAACGTATATGAACAGGTCCTAGTCCGAGAAAAGGATGGAAGGATCCTGTTCATATGGACCTGTCGTCTGACAGAACACTAAATAATTTTTATAACAGTAAATTATAGGAAGGCAAAGGAATACTGAGCTGTTCTTGTATGGGGCTTACTAGAGAACACAGACTGTTGGTGAGATTTAACGTCCTCAAGGCGGTAAAAATATCGACAAAGAACTCTGGATGAAATTTAGTACCGATGTTGCGACAGTATGGCCACCCTCTCTAAAAATCGTACTTTTCGATATCCTGTAGTCGGTAATACCAACATGGCGGAAGAAGAAATTTGTGAGGTGAGATCGACACTGACACCATTTGCAAGGGACCCTGCATTAATGTGTGGATCCAGATCTTCGTCACCGTGGTTACCATGGCTATTTTTGTTGCCTTCGATGTGGTTACGTGTTGATCATTGTTACCACGGTTACAACGATTACTACGGCAAGCACGTTTCCCTTTGTCGGTATGGTTAAAGGTTTTCTATCAGCGGAGATGAATTGTGCTATGTAGCCACAAGGGAGTCCCATCTTGGTCAGGTTAGGTTGAGAGGTGAGACTGAGTTGGGTAAAGTTGGTTTGTGTTAGGTTACGTTGGATTAAAACAGGTAATTTGGTAAGGATAGGACAATGAGAGTGGATTGCCTTAGGTTGAGTTGAATTAAGTTAGGATCTAATAAGTTAGGTTAGGTCGTGTAATGTTTGTTTAAGGTAGGTTAGGTCAGTTTGGAATGAGTTCAAGGAGGTTAGGTTAGGTTAGGTTAGGTTATATCATGTTAGCTGCCTCGTCTGGAAGCCGCAAGTGTTGCGATCCAAGTGTCTTGGCATTGCGACTAACGCACCTTGGTCCGTTGGTAACAGACAAATTCTGCTTTTCGCCGACCACATCAGAGCACCGTCTGAGAGTTTCGACTTAAATTTAGCGGACGTGGGGAACCCCTTACTTCTTGCAATGCTGAAGGCACATGTGCCGACCAAGAGCTGACCGACGTCAACCACGGGCAACCGAGGGTGACTGTGTTAAGCAGGCCAGCCGAAGGCATCCCTGACTGAGATTTTCCGAGCTTTTCCTCAGTTGTAAGGCAAATGCCAGGGTACAATTCAAGAGGGGCACGGCCCGCCTTCACCGGTCATGGAGGTCTTCAGGTGAAATGATTTCCCGCCTCCACTCTTCCACAGTCGAAGAGGTCATCGGCTAAAGCTGTCCCGTCCCTTCTGGGTCCAAATCCCAGGTACCCATTCAAGGACAAGTTGACTGATGGGATAATATTTTACCAGTAGCAACAGCCCCTAGTTTGAAAAAGTGAAGTTCTTCCACTTCAACAAAAATCTCCCCCTTCCAAACCGTTATATTTAACAATCACTGTTAACCATTCACAGCAACGAGTATTGTACGCAGGAAGGGTGTAACCTAGCAACGAACGTATGTCTTGTACTTGCGCCCTGGTGATGGTGGTAGCAAGGACCTCCGAAACGTTGGTAAATGTCTATCAGACTACAACCCAGAAGACAACCATCTTTTCGAATTTTCAAATCGTTTTGAAAATGTATTGTCCCTGTTCGGTTCGCACAAATAAGCCGCTTTTAAAACGTCTACGTAGAAATAAATTACTGCTCTCACCTGAGGCGAACAATCTCTGCTATTCCGAACGCAACCCGCATTTCACGATTGTCTAAGTCCTCTTTTTATACTCGATTCACCTTCTGAGATGAGTAACAAATCTGTATTTGCTAGCATCTGTTCACAGCATCTTTCGTTTGTTCCGTTAGTTATGGTGAAGGACAGGATGGCGCCACATTCAATTTCAAATGAAGTTTAATATTATTTATAACTGAGGATCTGCAACCCAGATAACCATTAAAATATAAGCAGCTATTTTAGTAATCAGAAATTACAGTAGATAGACCAATTTTACTGTAGTATTTTGAGAAATATATGAGCAGAAACATGGGGCAGTAATGTTGATCTGTTAGAACGTATAAACGTCTATCCAAAGTACATGTTCCGTGTTTTTATAAAGTGTAACGTACCAATTATTCCTCAACACGTCGCCCGAGTTGTGAATTGTACGGACCTGTACAGAGATTCATTCAAATTGCTCGCCCACACAAAGAGATTCACAGATACCGAATCTATTGTTATATCCTATGCATAAGGACGAAACCCTTGGCTTTAACTTCGTATACAATGATGCCTGCTATCTCCCATTTTAAAGCCTCTTGGTGCTACTGAATCCCAGATAGGGGCACTCGGTCCCCTGAGCAATACAACGCTTGGTGCGTTCGATATTCTGTCGTGAATCAATGCTTTACACTAAACATTCCGAAGTGTTTCTTGAAGGAAATATAAGATCCATACAGAGGTTAGTTAATAACAAAGCCCGTATCCCTACACACGTCTGTCCATTGCAAGTGGATGAAGGTACGGCGAATATGCATTGAATCCTAAATGTCTTTACTGAATGTAACTGATGTAATTGACAGCAGCTGAGGTTTCCTAACCAAGTGCACCTTCCTTATTCTACGTAACTATTCCTTTCTAATAGAACAGTTACAACTTTGAACTGCAATTACGCCTACTCTGAATGTCATTCATTCCGGACTTTCAGTTCGGACTCATTACACACGAAATAACAACACAGTCGATTTTTTGTGCATTGGACACCCTTAGACATAAAATGTGTGAACACAGAATGAAAGTTTATATCTAATTATTCATAATATGCATTTAATAAAAGCCATCCGCTGAACCTTATCCAAATTAATCCATCACACACAAACAGTTCATTTCATAAAAGCCATCCGCTGAACCTTTATGCTCAGCCAAATTAATCCATCACACACAAACAGTATACATTTTAATATTATATTCCTATCTATACATACGTTTCTCTATTAGTCTGTATTCCAAACTAAATTCTGGATTCCTTTCTTATCTCTCTAATACGAGCTACGTTCCCTGCCTATCTCTTTCGCCTTTATTTGTTCACTGTAATAACTTTTGGCGAAGTCTCCTCGAGACTCTGTTCTCATTTTCTCTCAAACTGTTCCCCCCCCCCCCCCCCTTGGGCAGAGCAATGGACCTGTCGTAAGACAGAAAACTACATAATATAATAACATGAGTGACCAAGATTCAGTACAAAACAACAGATAAGACTGTGTTTTCATAAACCAGGTGGTAAGACGAATGATTCATGGCTGTAAGCTAGGAATCTAGAATGCACTTAATTTCCTCGTGAATGCCATTCTTATCTGCTCGTGTCCTTTAAAGACTCTCGTAATTTGCAAAGGATTTATTACTTACGGTCGCATTATACTTATGATTTGTCTCCAGTAAATCATGAATGAAGAAATATCATAATTATTACGACGATTAGGCCGAATTTCACACTGATGCTGCCCAGTAGTTTCATGTACGTAATCCAGAGAATTATTCTTCTCCGGAAGCTGGAGATTTACAGGCTGACATACGTAGGTAAGCGTTCGATAAAAATTTTCCATGCATTTGATCCCGGTGATATTCCTGGAGAGTTACTGGCCACAGTTTTACCACCCTTCTTATAAAGAAACGCATTAATAGATCCATTGAACCGATCCAACACCGCTTCCATCTTCCCAGTAGAATTAATAAGTTTCTGGTCTTCAGAACTTAACATTATACTTGTAAGACTTGAGGTTCTCACAGCGGTGAGTATGAAGATTTCTGTCTTCTGGGTTGTTGCGCTGTGTAGTCTGGTCGATGTTAACCAATGTTTCATCGCCCTGATGACGGAGGCAGTATGACCTCTGAAACGTTGGCTAACATCGACCAGACTACACAGCGCAACAATCCAGAAGACAGAAATCTTCATACTCATCGCCCTGATGATGGAGGCAGTATGACCTCTGCAACGTTGGTAAACATCTACCAGACTACACAGCGCAACAACCCAGAAGACAGAAATCTGCATACTCATCGCCCTGATGATGGAGGCAGTATGACCTCTGCAACGTTGGTAAACATCTACCAGACTACACAGCGCAACAACCCAGAAGACAGAAATCTGCATACTCATCGCCCTGATGATGGAGGCAGTATGACCTCTGCAACGTTGGTAAACATCTACCAGACTACACAGCGCAACAACCCAGAAGACAGAAATCTGCATACTCATCGCCCTGATGATGGAGGCAGTATGACCTCTGCAACGTTGGTAAACATCTACCAGACTACACAGCGCAACAACCCAGAAGACAGAAATCTGCATACTCATCGCCCTGATGATGGAGGCAGTATGACCTCTGCAACGTTGGTAAACATCTACCAGACTACACAGCGCAACAACCCAGAAGACAGAAATCTGCATACTCATCGCCCTGATGATGGAGGCAGTATGACCTCTGCAACGTTGGTAAACATCTACCAGACTACACAGCGCAACAACCCAGAAGACAGAAATCTGCATACTCATCGCCCTGATGATGGAGGCAGTATGACCTCTGCAACGTTGGTAAACATCTACCAGACTACACAGCGCAACAACCCAGAAGACGGAAATCTTCAACATTATACTTCATTACAGGTTCAGGTCTGCCGAATGAGATCTCGCTGTAATAATTTTATGATACAAAAAGAGAACGATATAAGGGGATGTGGAATATAGGACAGGCTTCGAGGTGAACTGAGGAAAACATTCACAGATGACAATTATGTGACGTAAATCACGAAATAGAAGTGTATGTCAACTCAGTTGGTCTAGTCTTATTCAGAAAAGGTGGAGAGAACGAACCTTATTAGGGTGAGACTGGGGACTCGGGGTTTCAAGTCTAATGCAATGTCGTTTTCTTGGTTTGTTTAATGATTCTTTTCCAACTGGATAGCAATTTAAAACCTTATTTCGGAGTACGGTTCCGAATGATGTCTTGAGGAGAGACATAAACTTTTTTGAGAAACAATGATAGCATTTGAATAGAGGGTCTGAGGATAATTACAAACAGTCTTCGACCTATAGAGCGCATTCCTAGGAAGCTGAATTATGAACCAATTAACTATTACGTAGGGACTTTCCTGAATTAAAAAAAGTCACCGTTACTTGTATGAGAAACTGGTTATGTAAAGTGACGATAGACACGCAAGTCGCAGGATGTTCACAATGGCTTTTGCACAAGAGACATCTGAAGCACGATCCAGACACAGTCTCTGCACAATTTCATTCGAGCGGAAACAAAACTTGATAATTCTGGACCACTCAGGCGTAAATTTGAAGCAAAGGCCATGGAATCAATTCACAATTTAGAGCGACGCACAAAGCGAACAAGACCTGCAGACGCTGCCGTCTGTCTGAGACAGTCACGAACTATTCACGATGCAGAACTAAAATAATTATTGAAGTAAAATGTGTTCTGGACATTATCCATCGTTCAATATTAAATAAAATCAATAAAACCACGACGTTTCGGAGATGGGGATTAGCTCTATCGATTGGGTACAAAAGAGTAGGTTTTTCCTGAAGACGGAGATTGAGTCACATCTCCGAAACGTCGTGGTTTTATTGATTTTATTTAATATTGAACGATGGGTAATGTCCAGAAAACAGTTTACGTCAACGACGTACTATCATCACAAACTTTCAGAACTGAGCTAAAATAATTATATATCAACTAACTCAATGGAGAGAACAATTATTTAAAATCTAACAGTAATTCAAGAAGTTTCTCGACCTTACAGAACTGAAAATTCGATGCTCTTTTCACAGAAACTCTCAACTGCCCCTGTCCTAAACCAGGAGCATTCAGTCCACACATTCCCACTTTATTTCAATAGGACCAACTTAATATGTTTCTCCTGTTACTTTCTGATTCTCTCGAACAGTCCCTTCACTTCACGTACCTCGACTAAAATTTTGTGCGCAGTTATCATCTCTCCTTATCCATGCTACACGTCCCGCCCATTCATCACTCTTCATTTGTTTTCCCTAAAGGTGTTTGGCGAAAATACTTGTGATGCTTCTCACTGTCGTCAGCACAAGTTATGAATCTTGCATCTGGGAATGATCCGATGCAAATCGGAAGAATTTTTGAAAAAATAAAGCCATCAACTCGAGAATCAGACTCTTTGGTTTGTGATACACTTGCCTGGAAGAACATTACTGACAAATACATTTCTAAATATAGAATTTAATTCTTATGAAACCGATTTATGATATACTGGTGTTATTTTCTCCAAAGAAACGAGTCACTTATCTGGCTGGATCCGAAGTATAAGCTCCTTAGCTCGTTTGTGACTAGCCTATCTGAAATGCACTACAAGTTTGGTGTTAATTTATAAGTATAAAGCAGAGAGTATTGTGTTTTATTGGAATGTGATTAAAATTTCTCTGGCAGGTGAAATTGTGTGTGTCACTCGCTGTACGCGGGAGCATCGTTCCTGAGAATCACATGTACAACGAATTACCTGCATTGATTGTCATCTCTAATGATGGGGACAGAGATGGTCACTGAAACGTCGGTTTCTCCTTTTAAAAATTTGACGCGGCCTGATCGCTCGAGAATATTTTATTGACTTACGTCGCCGCGAAGATTTCAAATCACACATCCTCATACACCACGACTGAAATAAAAGATTGCATAACTGACCTTGAAAGTAACTTACGAAATGGATGAACGAGCATTCAAACGTTATTAATTGTTCTTCGATTAATCTTTCACGATCACTAAACGCGGATTGACACCGTTCTCAAAGACCTCAATCTCGCCCTTCCATGAATATTTAATAGGCCAAAATCTGGACAGATGGCAGCGGTGTCGACAATTTCCCGCTCACCACTTTTTCTGGTTGTAGAGCGGCTGAAACTTTGTGAATGTCCATGACAGAAGTTACGAGACAGTAAACTGACAGGTTAGATGTCAGAATTTGAACCACCTTAACTGTAAGCCTTGCAGGAAAAGTTCCACAGTCGTTTATAAGGGAAAAAAAGATACTCCAGTGGCGTCTACCGTCCCTTTGTATCTGGATTACGCAACGTCGAGATGGGGTCTGAGGCATTACCACCCAAGACAGCGAACTTATTATTTCTGTCATGTAAATTAATCTGCGTCTACGAGAACATTCACACCAAAGCATTGTATCGTGTAAAAGTAAGCTTATGTAAACGTTGCCCAGTGTTCGACGTTATATAATCGAGAAAAATACCCCGTTTTAATGTGCCTTTGAATCCAACTTCGTGCTTCAGAACTGCGTATGTAATAATTGCATGTACGAATATGTCTTGAGACAAAAAAACATTAAAGCTATGTTGTGATAGTTGAATAACAGAATAGCTGGTTATATATTGTGAACGCCGGATAAAGGAAAATAAAACAAATGCTAGAGGAGAAAGAGAATGTTCGAGACTTTGTGTAACTGAATGCGAGATATAAAAGCGGTGATCTCGTTCCAGTTATCACCAGCAACAGCGCTGCAGTCAGTCAGGAACGATATCACCATGAAGACGCTAGTAAGTATGCCTTCAGATGGGCTAAGAACTTAGAAAGAAAGAAAACCTGACGATATATATTGGCGGAGAGCGTGCAGGAGCACACAAACACGTTTGTGGGACGATCGGTGTTCGATTCCCTGTTAAGGGAGGATTTCCGTCTTTGCCATAACCTCAAGACTGGCTTACGGGCTCAACTAACCTCTCATTCAATGGGTATCTTGATTCTGTCCTCGGGGTTAAAACGGATGGGACGTGAAATTAACCACTGACCTTCAATTATTACAGAAGCAGGTGTTACGAACGCGTGGAGCTGTGCCTTCATTCTCCGTGGGTGCTTGGTAGTTAGAGACAAAATTTCGTTTACAAAACAGCAATACTTCAAAATTTAAATTCGCTGTCTGGGAACATCACGTACGACTAATAACGACGTCTTGTTGAGGCAATGAGATAATTATTTCTGCAATTGCTGGTTAATGTTCAGCCCGACTGTGCACTTTACATGAACTTCAGATCAGCACACAGCAGTTTCTGTTCTCTAAAGCTGTGAAACGTGGTCAAATATTGAGGGAAAGTCGCACATTAGGAAAAAGTTCCCTAGAACTGCGAAGTTGAAACAAGTGCGGAATACAGGATTTCAGTCCAACGCAACGAGGCACTCAGGACAGCGACAACCAGAGGGCTAAGGTGGGCCTGGCAATATTTCTTGGTTGGGGGAGGGTCTTGAGAAAATCCCTGCTGCGCCAACACCAAATACGTTAAGCTTTGCGTTTATTCGGCTTTGTTCTTTGCATTGTCCCTTAATACTGAACTGTAAATTCCAGAAGCAATGCGTAAAATTACGAACTTGTAAATGGTTTGCCCAAATTAGAATCTCTTTCTACTTTAACCAAACCAAACTTATTCTTGATTTAAATCCCAAAATGTTCTGTAAGAACAATAAACTTTTCACGTCAATTCAGATCGGTAAGGTTTTATTATTTTTTTGTAGTGTTCTGTCTGAAGACAGGTCCATATGAACAGGATCCTTCCATCCTTTTCTCGGACTGGGACCTGTTCATATACGTTCTTGGCAGATGATCCAGAAGTGGTTTGCCATTGCCTTCTTCTGTGTGTGAATGGAGTAATTGTTGGGATGCCACGGAGGAAAACTCCGTGTTGCCTAGACCACGGCCTTGCCCAACACAAGTTATAAATTCGGGCACCGCCGGGAATCGAACCCGAGACCCCCAGGATTACAAGGCCAGCGTTCTAACCGCTAGACCACCGTGGCACGGTACGGTACCAACACAAAAGACGGTCTGCAAATTTGAACCCCGTATCTAATTTTTTTTAGGTTGATTTTGTTGTAGGAATAGGGAAAATGAGAGATTTTACTGTTATCATGTACAGAAAATCTGCAGGGAAAATCTGAACAACGCGACAAAATACGACGCACTGGGTGGATGAAAGCAACCAGAAGATGTCAAGTCATGTTAGCATTCTCACCGATATGCCATAGGCAAGGCGAAGAGAAATTTTTTAATCCTAAGAACGATGTAACGGAGAGGTTCCGCCACTGATGTGACTTAAGTAATCTGCGTAATATTTTGGCAATACTGTGAAATATTGTTACATAATATAACAAACATATTTTTATAAGTAAGACTTGAGGTTCTCACAGCGGTGAGTATGAAGATTTCTGTCTTCTGGGTTGTTGC